GGGGGGGGGGGGAATAGTTATCTGAGCTTGGTAGAATGCCAATAACTTGAGGAATTCCAGATTTCACATTGTATATTGTAACTTTGTGGGTCTAAGTGATAAAAAATATAAACAGGTTATCTCGTTTACTCTTATGGAGGTTAACCGTTCTTTTCTTGGGTTTATCAAGGTGGATGTGCAGATAGAGATTGACCTTCATTTCTTGAGTTCTTCAAAGTGCATTTGCAGATAAAAGGCTCCAATGAAGGAGGTGAAGTAACGACCAAAAAGTAAGGTCCAGACTTTAAAGTGGTTGAATAAGGGTTTAATTTTTTAGGGTGGGTACCGGGCATTGGGTCGGGTCAGGGTAAAAATAAACCCGGATGGAGCAGATACGGTAGGGGTATCTTTGTTTGATTTGAGGATAAATCTAAACAAATTTCTATAGTAAAGGGGTATTTTTGACTCTTTCCCTTTACCCATGTATTATCCAAAATTGAGCAATTTTGATTTTTGTTGAACTTCTTTTAATCTAATATTACCTACGGTGCTAAGAAAAAAGGTCTCATTTTTGCCTTTATCCCTAATGGAATAATAACTTGAAGGTAACTTAAAAATATTGTACAGTAAAAGTTAAGGGGTAAGTTTGGATCTTCTTTTTCGAACAAATTTGGACACATGAAGTCCATTCATTTCACCCTAGAGCTCCGTTAACGACAAATATTAGATAGGCCAAGATTCTTTCTTTTGCGCAATAGTAAGTAGTAACTCAGGTAGCGATAGATACCTTAGTAATCAGAACTTACACTATGTTTGGATCATATTGTTATTCATCGTTTTATAATGTCTTGTATTGTACTGTATTGTATCGTTTTATGGATACAACATTTGAATAGACTGTATCGTTTGTTATTTTTAAATAATATTTTGTTGTTTGGTTTGATTGTATCGTACTGTACTGTAACTGATAAGTTCACTAAAATACTCCCAATTGTTTTAAATAAAATTTATCAAGAATTACACATAAAAATAATTTAAGACAACCTCTTTCTACTAATTTATGATTAATTATGTAGCTTGAAAACAAGAGCAAAAACTTGGAAAAAAAGGTTAACTAATATTAGCAACACAAAAAAATTAAAACGATGGAAAGAGACAAAGAATTGAACGGAGACTTGGATAAAAAGAACGGGACAAACCAACTCTATAAAAGATGGAAGAAGACAAAGTAGGTCAATAGGTTGGAGATTTGGAGTTAAATAATAATAATAATAATAAAATAGAATTATAGAGTAATAAGTAAGGGCACAATTGAAAAAGAAAATAGGAAACGATCCCACCACACCAAATCAACTGTTTCATAAAATAGGGCTTTTGGTTGTTCCGGAACAATGAATTTAACAATACGATACAACCAATTTTAAATAAACAATCAAAACAAACATTGTTTTGGGATAACAATACAATAAAATACAATGGGTAACAACCATCCAAACAAGCTGTTAAACTATTAGGGACTGTGCTATGAATTTGATGCATATGATTTAACAAATAAAAAAAGCCATTTGGAGGAGACAATACAAATAGTATTGAAGGAGTCCTAGCTTGATGGCCTGAGTGGAGATACGGGCTATATCACATTAGTGAAAAAGAATTTGGAAGACAATATAATAAATTCTTGGAAAATGGTGCATATTATTGAAATGAACCAAAAAGCATCTACATCAAGTGGAATGTATCTAAATTCAAATAATTCTTTTTATTTGAGACAGAGATCATCTCAACTCTAAAACTTAAACAAGAGAATCCTTGGATAACTTCTTCGGTTCATGATTTTCCTTATCTTGATAACCATCCTTCCCTGCTAGAAGTGGTGTAGCAATATCTTTTTCTTTAACCTGAGATGATAACAAAAAATAAATATTACCAGGAATAAATTCCAAACACTAGAAAATGATTAGACTTATATGTACTGATAATGTGAAACACTTTAATATTATTAGTGCTTTTTAACTTACGACCGATAAATTTGTCTTATTTTTAGTACGTTACAAATGTCAGTTTTTATGAACGGTTACATGTAATTATAGTTATTTTGTACTGTGAATGTTTAGAAGTTAAACTCCTAAATAAAGGGAATTCTTACTTGAGGAATGGAAGAATGATCTCCAGGGTGTTTCCTTTTGGTTTCATGTGTGCAAAAATAGGAATACAATCCCATTCCAACAATGGCTACTAGTATACCAAGGATGTTTCTTGATGTGAAGGGATCATGCAGCAGTGTATAACCAAGTCCTAGAACAAGGCATGTTTTTAAGTGGCCTAACACTTGGTATGTAACTGGTGATGTCTTCCCTATCACCAAAAATGTGCTGAAATTCACTGACACAGCAATCAGGCATGACAGCAATATGAACCCCTGCATTTTTTGCAAATTCAATTCATTAAAATATCTCTATAAATCTAGCCAAAGATTTCTATGTTTAAAGATTCCTAAACCTAAAAAAAAAAAAAAGGGCAGCCCGGTGCACTAAGCTCCCGCTATGCGCGAGGTTCGGAAAGGGCCGGACCACAAGGGTTTATTATACGCAATCTTACCCTATATTTCTGCAAGAATCTATTTCCACGGCTTGAACCCGTGACCTCCTGGTCACATGACAGTAACTTTACCAATAGATTCCGAAACCTGACTGAAAAATAATCTAACTGATAGTATAATTTTCTGACGAAGAATGGTCAGTTGTATAAAAAATGTTTGACCTATATATATAATATAATTTTTTGACAAAGAATGTTCAACTGACCATCATTAGCCTGGCGTAACTTCGCCCTGATTATAGTAACAAATAATTTGTAGAAACATACATGCACAAGAAACAATGGGGATTAGGATTTTTGCTTACCAACACAACATTAGAGTATTTGTAGGCAAAAACATTCTTTTTGGTAAGGAATTGATCAACCAAAGGCCCTGTCACAAATAGAATAGCTGATTGGAAAGGGGCTGACTGGTACAACAGCTGTGTAGATGAGATGTTGAGTCTCTTCTGAATTGTGTTAGTAAGCTGATTTTGAGGGTCAAGTCAAAGCATGAAATAACCATTGATAATTATATAATTACATCATTTATCAAAGAAACTAATTAAATAACTTTCATAATCTTTCTTCTTATGACATAATAATTGGATGATAAGTATTAAGTTATATCACTAACAACGTAGAATTTTTACACCATCAGTGTAGTTTAACTTGCTATATTATACCATTTATTCTACTTTTCAGATTATATGAGATCATATTTGTTATAAACAGTTGTCTGTTATTGCAGATAACTTCATATGCTGATATAAAAATATTATATTGTCAGTGCACATAATATAAATTCTTTACGTAATGAAAGGATACAATTTGTCCAACACAAGTTGTAACAATGGCTAGTAGAGAGAGGACTGTGCCAACAAAATTGAGCTGAAGATCAGTAATGGAGGCAATGCCAACTCCAAGCAGCAAAATTAATAGAGAGAACTTAATATTCCAGCTGCATAAAAAAAAAAAAAAAAAAAAAATTCTAAGAGATCTTGTGAGACTAGCCTTTTTTTAGTTTTAGGAAAATATGAAACTTGGAATTAATTACCTGAATTGCTTCTTCAAAAAAATGGTTTCTAAAAGTACAGTGAAAGGTATAATTGCTAACTTTGTCATCTGCAAAAACAACACAAAAGACAGTGTTAGCACATTTTTGATGAGTGAACCAGACTTTTTGATCGCCACTGACGTTTAGGGACCAAAATTTGACTTTTAGAAACTAGTTTTTTCTTATGTGTTATCGAGGTAGCAAACAAGGTATATATATATATATAAATCCTAACTATATATGATTACCACTTACATAAAGACCCTAAACTTTATGAAAGAATAAAGTAATTAGATTGATTTGGGTAATCACAGTATTATCACCATTGGTGGATGCAATGCGATTTGAGTTGATCTCTGGAACGTCAAAATGTATAGCAGAGGACATTAAGCACGATGCCATGACTGTTGGCAAATACTCTCTTGTCAATCCTATTAGGGTTGGGTCAGATTGATTTATTGCATATTTTAGATAAGAAGCCCAAATCAAGCCTACCTACTGGTTGTAGTTAATAAAATCTGATTCAGTTCATAAACTGTCCTATGGATTGCCTAAGTGATATACGAAACTTATAGGCATGATATCTACTATATTGTTTTAAATCTAATTACTTTATTCTTTCATAAAGTTTAGGGTCTTTATGTAAGTGGTAATCATATATAGTTAGGATTTATATATATATATATATATATATTTGCTACCTCGTCCATGGAATTTCCTCTCCGTATTGTATCTAATATTTCCTATCACGCTTAAAAATATGGAAGGAGATCTTTGTGTGTGATTCTAGGAGAGAAAGAATCCTTATTTATTTGGGTTTTCAATTTTTGTATATGCATGATTGGTTTTTGTAAGTCTATTATTAATGACCGAAGGTTGGTAAGTTAGGAGTTATTTGGGATATTTCCGTAAAACTTGTTATGTAACCACAAAGTTTACTTTATAAGAATGTCTTGAACAACACATTCACTTTTGGTGATTCTTAGGAATATTGATCTAATTACCTGGTAGAAGCCAATAGAATTAAAACCGAGGCTAAGATTGAGAAAGCCAATGGAAACGCCATTTAAGATACCAAAGAGCATCACAGTCTTCATGTCAATAGGTTTGCTCTCAAAGAAATTGAATCTAAGTGCTACATGAAGTGTAACAAATGTCACCATCAGATGCCAACTTGTCAATGTTGTTGCTGCAATAAGAATTTTGTAATACTATCACGTTATCTCAAAAATAATTAATTACAGGTAGTTCGTCCATAAAAAGTGAGATTAATAAATTAAAAACTAAAGAATATTATCTGTTACGACAAATAAAATACCCTAATACTAGAAAAAAGATTTACACTTTCAAATGTTAAAATACAAGTTAATCCCCTCCCCACCAAAATTGTAAGTTAATTTAGCCTAGACAATTTTATGCTTCCGACAATAATTATAATTGATTAGAATATTGATTTTGATTGATAATAAGTAACTAAACTCTAATATAACTAGGAAATCAACTTAATGAAAAGGAATCTATGATATTCATAAATTAATTTTTTATTTTACATATGCCTGCACACCAAACACATGGTTAACTAACATTAGATGTAATGCTATTAAGAGTTGGTGGCAATAAACAAATAATATTATAATGATAATAAGCCGTACGTAACGTATTCTACCAACTGCTGGTGGATTAGGTACCGGTGGAATGAATATGATCCTCAGTTCTTAACTTGCCTATGAGTTTTGAATATGCAAAAAAAATTCTGATAGGAAACACTTTTCCTTTTTAATGGGCCTTATGCAACGGAGACTCAATTTAATTAAAATATAATGCGAGTACCGGACACCCACGACCAGAAAACCAGAAAACACTGCATGCGCTGGTGAAAGAAAAAGGAAGATAGTGGTTACCAAATGGAAAACCAAGATTGCTCATCAAAGCTTTGTTGCAGATAACAATGGAGACTGAGGATGCCACTGACAGAAATAATGCTCCCACCACACCCACCTGCAACTTTGTCTTCTCACCCATCTTTATCAAATCAAAACAAATATAAATCAGCTGCTTCTTCTCTTTAAATTAAATTGTTTCATTAATATTGGCTAAATAAGGATGATCTATAAGCTTAGGCTAAAAATGTCTAAGATAGATATGAGAGATCAAAGTCCAAATTTCAGCAGAAACAAAAATTACTAGGAGACTTTTTTTATCCGTCAAAGTCAATCACAGAACCACATGCATTGAAGGGGATTCAATTGATTCCCTTTCCTTGGAAAGTTATATATACTGCACAAATAGGATACGAATATTTATTTTCATACGTATAATCTTTTTTGAATTCCCTTAACGTAAGAGAAGTAGTGGTGCAAATCTCAAATGTAATATTTTTGTATGTTTAAATTTTTTTATTAGAATTTCTAGCTTCACCACTGACCTAATTCTAGTGGTCAAAATTACCGATATTTATACTGATATTAGGTTCTTTTGGAATTGTTGGATGAACCAAACTATCAAATGGAGTCATAGTGACACAAGATAGACGAAACTCCCATATTAATCTTCACGTTTGAAAAGAAGTGCCTGTGTATCAAGACTATAATGTATCTTTGCATGTTGTGATGGATTACCTCAATATCAAATCAAAGGAGATGATTATGATGAGAGTTTACCTTAAATATGATTAGAAAGGACAAAAGAAAAACAAAAAATAAAGAAGAATACATGAAGAAACTTGTAACAAAATGTATGTAATGTACCTCTACAAAATGGAAATAGTCAATGAATTTTAGGCTCCAAGAAGTCAATTTCAAGAAATTAATTTGAAGGGGTTATGGAGCTTGAAGAGATGAACAAGTGTTTTTCTTTTGTTGGTGTAGGATGAAGAGAGGGAAACTCAATGACTTCTTAGAGAATGTAGAACAAAGAATTGAATCTATCTTTTATTTACACTTCTAGGGTGGGTGGTTGGGGGCTAACCATGTTAACAATTAAAGTTCGCACTGAGAGTATATAATTTTTATATATCATTAAATTAGGTTAATCTACAATAACAAGTTGCTTTTTATGCTGAGCCTAATATGGTAACATGAAAAATAGAAAGATTAGCCATAACTGATTAGGTTAATAGTAATGCAGACAATGACGAAGCAAGTATTTTCATTAAGGAGTATCAAATTATAAAACATAGATATATCGAAAAGTCAAGGGAAGTCAACGTACAATAAATATACATACAAACAGTGTGGGATAATATTAATATACATAAAATTAAATAAATTATCTAGCAATATAGTGTAGTCTTCCGGTAAAAGGTATCGATTAACACCCCTTAATTGAATGTGGCTCCACCACTGAATGCAAACCCTGTGCTTATAGTGGCCTAAATAAAAAAGAGATGCCAAAAGAAAGTTTAGCCCTTAAAATACCTTACGATCGAAAATAAAGAACTGAACGAAGAAAGACAGATAAAGGAATAACCAACCAACCAGAAGGGCGTACCTTAAAGGCACTAATAAATTGTATTTGACAGCGTAAAAATTATACGAGTAGTCTATAAAACTTACATCCTAATTATTTTAGCTGTATTTTGGTTTTTAGGCCAAGTAGTTGATGATCATTTTCCACAGAGGAAGCTAACGACAATTGTAAGCAAAACCATTTGACTGACTTTAGGTTGACAAATATTTCCTTAGACCTAAAAATTCGAAGCAATCATATTAACAACAAAGCAAGAAACCTTTTTTAATTGAATATCCTCATAATTAATCCCCATGCGTTTGTTTTTCCCAATTTAGTGTTTTAACTAATTCATGTACTTGAGTTTCAAAAGCTTGAAATTAGATATTCTCATAACGACGCATCACGCATGGTTTTATTTACGTTCATTATAAGTTATAGCCTAATGAATTAAATACTGGTTTTAATTGGTTAAAAAATAGACAAAATGATACTAGTGTTTTTCCTTTTTTCTTATGAACACTAAGAAACAAATTAACAAAATATTGCTGGTTCACCTAATGGGGAGATAAAGAAATGTATAGTATTTGTCTTGATAGAGAAGTGAGAAAGGTGAAGTGAACATTTCTTAATGTGACAATGTACCTGCAGCCAGAACTAACACAACCGTTGGCACCCCCACAAGACCAATGTTTGGTGAGAAAATATATAAACTTTTATTTTGCTTCAAAAATGCATCTCATATAAAAATGGAAAAATGGTGTCTGAAAAGCTTATATTAAGAATTCTTGATCTATGCATGTATTTTCTCAACTGTCCTTTTGGACTTTCATTCAAATACAAATACAGTGCATGATAGTGCTAATTAGGAAATCTTGAAGATCTTTCCGACTTGAGAAATTAAGATTCTAAGTGTATGAACTTTTAGTGATTTCCTTTATATTTCTCAAGAAATACAAAAAAAAAAAGAAGAAGAAGAAGAAGAAGAAGAATAACTTTAATATTCTCTGATAATAAAGGCATGCATCACCCTAGCCTAGCTTTTCAACTCTATCTACGTCAAGTGTATTCAGATAATAATGGAAGTAGTTACTAGAATATTGAATAGAGTAATTTACATATATAAAAAGAGTTTTACGCCGACTATGTAAGGATATATTTTCACCGTTAGGTTAATAATACACTCAACTATGCCTATTAAAAGGACTGTGGGTAAACGGGATCTACCCCTAGACTCATGTTTTGACCATGTGGGCCTGAGGTTGATATTTGTTGACTTCTTGGGAATTGATTAAAGATTGAAGCTTTATTGTTTGAAATTGATTTCTATAGCTTTGATTGATGTTATTGAGTATTATTTGGCTAGATTCAAGCGCCCGTTAGAGGCGATTTCTAAGGGAAAAGTGATTTTGGAAGGTTGATTTGGGCTTATTAAGGTAAGTATACTGCCTAACTTTGTTGTAAGGGAAAAACCTTTAGTATATGACCTTATTTGTCTAATTGGAATATATTTGAAGTGACGTATACGCTAGGTGATGAGTGTATATGTCGGTGCTATATATGAATTATGGCCGGATTAGACTTTCGGCTTCTATCATGCCTTGTTTAGATTGTACGCTTTCTATGATTCATGTCTTAATCATTGCATTACTACGTGAACTTCTTGAATCATGCTAGAGATTATGTTTAGGTTTGATTTTCTGTTTGAACATGATGCTCGTTACATGCACCTTAACATGCTATTTTCCTTAATCCACGAGTATGTGAATTGATATTCATTGTTCGTATACATGTGGTATTGAATATTCTTTCTGTGCGATGAACTGGATTGATAGCACGTGAGTTGTCCGTGTAGTTGTTATGATTGTGGCACGTGAGTTGTCCGTACGACGTGTGGATAAGGATCCATCCTCTTAGGACCGTCCTCTCATGTTTCTCCTTGATGGCGTACACGCCAATTGAAAAACTAACCAGTGTTGATTTTTGCGTATTTCTCTATATGCAAACACCTTAGATGTACATAATTTTCATTGCATAGCCTCTATATGCTAGCTTTAGAATGTATACATGCATCTTTATGTATGTCTTCTCTATGTGCCGCTTTGATTGAATAATTGATTCACAGGACATATCTTCTCTATATGTCAATATGTTCCATAGAGCCCAACCCGACATGATTTTTTAAGAAAAAAAATCATGTTTTCTATAAACATAGGTTGACTTAACATCCTTGGTATATTAAGTCTGATAGTATGACCATGTTGAAGTCCAAAGGGGTCTGTAATCCTAAAAAGGATGCCATCATAACTTATTTATATTTTAAGGAATAATCGTGCCTAAATATTGATGTCACGATTCAAAATCCCATGAAGTCGTGATGGCCCCTAATGTAACTGTTAAGTAAACCAACTAACATAGGATACAACTACAACGAGAAATCATAAATAAATAATAAATAAGAATGTGAAAACTATCCCAAGGTCTGGTAGTACAAGTCATGATCCACTACGATTAAGATTTATAATGCTAGTATAAAGAAAATACAACATCTATTTAACATTTATATAAATAGAAATATGAGTCCTAAACTATCATGAACAAGTGATAGCTTGTACTCGGGATGCTGGTATGTCTTCAATGCTAGGCTTCAACCTCCACTACAGCTCAGCTCCCCAAAATCTGCACGCAAGATGGAGAAGTGTAGTATGAACACAATCGACCCCTATACTCAGGATGTATCTTGACTAACCTCAGTGAAATAGTGACAATATTTTTAAGTCAAATAGATACTCACTTAATATAACCTATGCAGCTCAATAACATGTATAATAAAGAGAAGTATCCAAAGAGACAATCACAAAATAACATATATCAATAAATAAGGTACACAACTGGGGTAAGTATAGTAAACAAGCTTTGCCAATTAAACAGATCAAGCAAATACGATTTGCACCAACTCCGCACACCAAAGAGACATGCACCAAAAAGTGTGTGCTCAAATACTCATATATGAATGTAGAGTATCTGTACGTAACAATGATCCACTTCCATATTCATTTATAAGTACCATGTTTATGAAACATTTACATGGGTCCAACATATTAATGTATAATGCTAACTCTCTTTTTCCATTAATCCGACACCCTCTAAGTGTCTAACAACTCATTAACAAGTCTCATACATATGTAAAACACATCAACTAGCATATGTAGATCATATGCATGGATAAAACATGTAAAATACATGAATATGCACAAAAGATCACTTGATAGGCCAAGCTTCCACTTTTATGCTCAATAACTCATCACATAGGATGCCATATCGCAATCAACTAGAAACCCGCATGTTTCTCACAACCAATGTGTACGGTATCAAGAGAGAAATATAAGAGGGCGATTTTAGGTTAATGGATCCAAGTTCACATGTTGTACAGTATAAAACTCGTTCCATAATAGTAAAAATATCATCATAACTGCATGACAAAAACCTCATGCTATTTCCAAATCAATCCGCTCAATATTCACGAACTACGTGTACGCCATCAAGAGAGAAACATGAGAGGGAGACCCTAGAGGGATGGATACATAACACAATGCATGACTGAAGACTCATGCACTGTACGACATCAACCTCATGCTACAATAATATCAATATCACCATAATTTCACAACAAAGACATCATGCCATATTATTAACAGTATCATAATCATCGACGATAAAGACTTCATGTCAAATCAATAACAATATCATAATATCTACACAACAGAAACCTTGCACCATAATCTCAGTTCGTTTTTGAGAACCATATGCAGGAATGTACACATATTAATAAGAGATAAATATATATAATATATATGGATAGAGAAATAACTATGCATGGATATCATGTACACAGGGGATGATGCCTAGGTAAGATGTATGCCTATATATACATATGGACATATACCCGACATATAATATATTATCCAAATAATCATCATACCCGAATAAAAATCAAAATCTATTTCATACTCTGTAATGTGGGTAAGAAAACTCAAGTAGTCATACATCAATTCAAGGCATAACAAAAAAAAAAGTACAGGTATGTTCATAATATGCATGACTATGTCAAAAGAAAGTATAACAATGATCTCAAGAATAGTTCATCGTGCTCAAAAGAAGGTACCATTAGCCTCAACATTAACTCTAGCATTGTAACGATCGAGCTGGTCCTTTTGAGTGTTATAGCCTCGTTCCCTCATTTAATGCTTATTCTATGCTCAATTCTTATTATGTGACTTATTGGGGTGGTTGGTTTAGTTCCAAGGATGTTTCGGAATGGACTGGGATACTTAGTCCCAAGGTTGGAAGCCTAAGTTGAAAGAAATAATCGGATATTGACTTATGTATAAATAGCTCTGAAATGGAGTTTTGACGGTTCTGATAACTCTGTAAGGTAATTTTAAACTTAGTAGTGT